ACACGCTCTCTCAAAGAACAAGTAATAAATATATCATCCCCTCAACATTTGTCACTGTGCTGGATAATTCACATGGATACTTAATCACAGAAGTCCCTTGTGAAGGCAGGAGAGGAACTCTGGCTGCACAGCCGAGTCCAAATGGTGCAAATGGCCAAGTGGGGATGCTTAGCCCTGCAAAGGAGCAGTGAGGGGTTTAAACAATGAGCCATGGAGTAGAGGCAACAGCCAGAGCCTACACCTTGGTCTCTGAGCAAACCACTGCCCCCAGATGTCCCTGCAGACAGGCTCAGAGCTGCCTGAGAGCAAAACCCTGAGTAAGCTTGGCTGCAGTTACTACAGCACCTCTCTGGGCTCAGGAGCCACCACTCACCGAGGGCTCCAAGAGGACAACAGGAAGAGAGCACTATATATTTATTCTGCTTTTACACCTCCATAAGTCTTTGTACTGACCACTGCTGGATGAGGGATTTGGGGCTAAGCAGACCTTTGACCTGTCAGCTGACGTTGATTGATGAATGCTGTTGGCTTTAACAATACATAAAAAAGACAAATCATCATGCTGTGATTTGCTGTGGGTAGCAACCCAAACAAATTCAAGCCCTCTGCAAATGCTGGAGCTAAAAGGGCTATAAATGCAGAAAAAGATCTGTTGTCTGTTCTATACATGATGTTTGTCCTCACAGCATCTCTTCTACCTTGATGGCTGCAGAATTTAGGTAGGAGCAGGCAGCATTTAGGTATTTTACAAAGAAGTGCAGAACCCATTCCTACCTAAATATACCTATTTCTATGTATGATGAGTAAGGACACCAAAAATAAACACTGCACAATAACTGCAGTTAATATTTCAACCTGTCCCTTAATGACACCACCTCAATGCCTCAGGTACAGGGGCTTTCCTAAACAGTATTTTCCATGTTCTTTTTGCTGATGGAATATGTCAAGCTAGTCAAGGTAGAATTGCAGAAAATTAGTATTTACCTGTGCTGCAATACCTGGATCCAATCGCATCAATTACACATAATCACCAGATGCAGTGTTTGGGGACAGGCATGCAAACAGGAAACCTGGAAACAGAAACTGATGCAAGGCAGCAGTGGAGAAGCCTCATGTCCAGCTTTTGGAATGGGATCCTGCTGCCCAGCTCTGCAAAGTGGCCATTTTCCAGGCTTGCACAACAGCAAGTCTGTCCTACAGCCTGGCCTGGAACAGCTGTATTTGGGGTTGAGCTGCTGCTGAGGCATCATTCAGGTTATGAAGCAAAAGCAGCAGAGCTGAATCAGGGAGTCAAAATGAGCCAAGCTGGTCTTGGGAGCACAAAACAGTAAGGGCCAACAGCAGAGTTAAGGGACAAGGAAAAACTAGAGCCATAACAAATGTCCCCTCCAGTGCTCTTCCACCTAAAACCTCCAGACAGTGCTTCAGGTACAATGCAAAATCCCTAGCAAAATAAAGCTCACCTGAAGCCAGAAAGGCCATCTTACAATTCTTAGACTCTGAGACATCACCATATCTAGAAAAGCCATCTTAGTACTCTTTCTTTTCCCAACCTTCACATGCATCAGCATCCTACCTTTTTATATTCTTTTTAACATGTGTCTCCTTAATTCAATTAGCATCCAAAAAACACTGAATGGAAAAAAAAAAAAACACCAAAAAACCCCCAAAAAACAAACAAACAAAAACCAACAACAACAAAACAAAAACACCAAAAAAACCTCATGTACAAGATGCACATCTTTCGGATATAAAGTAAATCAACATTTCAGGGGCAAGGCAGCAACTTCAGTCTTGGGATCCCTTCTGGCTAAGAGTGACGGGACCACGAGCTCTGCCTTAACCACACCAGCTCACTGAGGCACTCTCAAATAAAAGCCAAGTTTGCTCTACCTCTGGAAATCAAAAGGTGCAAATTGTTTGTTTACCAGGTATCAATTCACAGGTAGTTGGCCTAATTCTGCCTTAGTTCTTTCCTTCTACAAGGTCACTTTTGAAGTGGTTTTATTCCTTAAGCCCTTTGAAATTCCGTGCAAGACAAACCAAAATATACTGTGGTTAGAAAAGGCCTAGGATGGGTCACCTAGTCTCTTCCTTTGGCTAATGGAACCTGTGTCTAGGACTTCAAGAACAAAGTTTAATTTCTAAAAAACCAAGACAACAAAAGGCATTGCTGATGATTTCTCATGACAGTATTGCTTTTCCCCCATTTTCTCTGCATTTTGTTTTGAGAGGTGTTTTTTTGGTTTTTATTTTATTAGAATAAATGACACATTTTCAAAAGCTGAAAAAGGCATCTTTTAGTTGACAATTGCACTGAACATTAACTGAAATCTGCAAAGCCATTTTTCCCATGCACAATCAAAAGCTGACAGACAGGGAAGCACAGAGTGCATAAAAAACCACACAAGCAAGCTGAGAGGGAATGGGTAAAACAGCCATCCTGAATCAGCTCCGAGCTGCTCTAATGGAATTAGGGTCACCCTGACAGAAACACAGTCAGATCACAGAGAAAATTTAATAATTTCTTATTGCAGTCTGTAAAAGCTGGGTAGGATTTGAAATAGCTGTCTGCCAAATTAGCACTTCTGTATCCACCGTCTGTGCGCATGTGTCCCATCCCACTCACCTTCTCCTCCCAGCACCCCACCAGAGCAGCCAGGAAACCACCACTCCCCTCCTGCTGCCAGGGAGGCACCCAGCGAGCCCCTCTTCTCCTGACACTCAGTTTAACCTTTGGATGCCCCTTCAACTCCTCATCACTGACATTCTTCACAGTGAACTCGATTCCAGGGGAGGCACCGGCGCTGATTCCACAGGCAATGCACACTAAATCTGCTTTATCTTAGCATTAGCATCCAGCTCTCTGCCAGCTGCCTTATTTGTTGGGAAGCTACAGCAGCAACACTGAGATGTGTTAGAGCAGCAGCAGGTGGGGAAGGCAGGGAAGACCCAGCCGTGGGCGCTCCCTGGGCACCCAGCCTGTGCTGCTGCCAGGGATGCAGCACAGCCCATCTCCAGCCAGCCTATAAAAAGCAATTTGGGGAAATCTGGGGATAGCCCTGCTCCCACTACCCTGTTGTTTTCAGGGGGGGAAATGCAGGAATGCTTTGCAGATACAGAGCCTGCCCATCCCTCCACTGACTCCAAACAGCACTGCAATGGGGAAAAGGAAGAATCACGGTGAGTTCTTGGAAACAGCCATAACCAGTGTAAATAAATGCTCTTTCACTGAAGCCAACAGGATGCTATGAGGACTAAAAAACAGATGTGTGCACATGGGGTGCTCCTTTCAAAGCATCCCTCTCTAGCTTCTTCTGGAAGTTCCAGCGTCCATATATTGTCATATCTTCCCTTTGCCCTGCACTACTGTCCTGAATCAGGACTCTCCAATGCCGGATTCACTACTGAATCGCTTCATCACTGATAGCAGGTCCCATAAATGCAGGGTTTGGGGTTGACATTTTACCCCTGCAGAGGCACAGAGCAGACAGGTCCTTTCACACAGCTCCCAGCTCTGAGGGTCGGTGGCAAGATTCAGTGGGTAAGATGATAGAAAAAGTCTACGTTGCTAAAATACATGGAGCAACACTTTCCATCCTAGGAAACCCATGATTAATCCATGGTGGCTGTGGTGGTAAAAGGTCAGTGCCCTCCAGAGCTGCCTTCCAGATTAGGAAAAAGCAATTCAGAATCAGTCTGCACCAGAGAAAAAGACAAACATACAGATAAACTTGCTGCTCAACACAAATGTTCCATATTGGAGACACCACAAAAAAACACAGCCAATTTTGTTAAAAGTTAAGTATGTGGAAGTATTCCACAAAATTAGGAAATCACCTCTACCACAAATTACCCTCAGGCCAAGAACTGTCCTAGGACATCTCAAACTCCACCAGCTTCTGCCCATCTGTGATGTGAGTGATACTTATCTCCTTTGCAGGAGCCAGTATGAAGATAATAAATTTCAGGTAATTTTTATCCACCTCAGAACACTAAACAGGTACTTCTCTATGCCAGATTCCAAAATGGGCTACAGTGTGCAGACAACATGATCTGAATAAGCGCCTTTAAACAGCACCAGCAGACAGCAAAGTAAGCTGAGGACGGAGACAGCTGCTGCCCTCAGTTTAACTGGGCAGCTCAGACTCATACAGACCCATATTAGTCTGCTGCCTGTGCAAGTCATCCCTAATGACAACAAAAAACCTGAATTTGTATGTTTCTTCACATCCCTCCTTCGCTCTTCTCTCCAGCTTCTCTAAATTTAGGTCTTCCTTTTAGTCAAGGACATTTAGGACCTCCCAGTCTACTTCCTACATTCAGCCACGCTCCCTACCAACATGAATCAAGATCTCCTTCAACTTTCCCAAAATTACATCTAATTTAAGCCTGGTGACTAAAGCTGCAGTAAGAAAGAGATGACTGCTGGCAGCTCAGGAGGTGCATAATGGTCACCCTCAGCTCCGACTCAAGCATCCCAGGAGTCCTGGGTACTTTCAAAGGCAAGAAGTATTCACAACTGCCAGAGTCTGTGATGAATGTGCAGACATTTGGACACTGAAAATCTGGGTACAGGTTAAAAAAAAAAAGGAGGGGGGTCTGCACAAATACTTGGGCATTGCTTAACAAATACACACCCCAAGATTATGCAAAAAAGCCACGAGGTTTCCTACTCTCTGCATAACCCATTCCCTAAGACATTCCTACTGTAAGGTGTTTTTAGCAGGCTACCATTAGCCATGTTTTTCTCCTCTTGTCTGTCCACAGCATTTTGTGCACATATTTCCATTTGGCTGGATGGGGCTAATTAAAGCCAGTCACAGCAACTCTATGAGACTACCAGGACAACAGCAAGGACACAACAGCTAAAAGTATGACCACAAGGAAACACTGTATTCCAATTCTGCCAAAATATAGGTGTAGGAGAGCTACACCACAAAGTGAGAACTCGCACCCTCTTCCCCAGCAGCCTTCTCCAACAGCAATTGCCTGCTGACTCAGGAGAGAAGTCTCAGTGCTACACAAATTATGAGAGCTGGCAAAAGAACAAGGGAAAACTAACAGGGATTACTGTGACCCCAATACTTCTTTCTTCCTCCGCCCCCAATTTTCTTTACTCATCTGTGCGTGTTAGAAATCAAACTGTCAGGTTTTGATCTTGCAGCTACTACAGAAATTCCTTCTGCACTTGAATAAATTTTGTCAGTCTTTTTAGTTCTACTTGTGCCCCTTCACACACACCCTGTTTATCTGCAATGCGCGCACTGGGAAATAGAAAGCTGGGGGGGAGCTGTCTCTTAGCCCTCTGTTTCCAGTACAAAGAAATAAGGTTTAATATTTCTGGAAATAAATTTTGCAAGGCATTCAAGCTTTCCAAAAATCAAATGTTACTTACTGTCCGCTCCTGCTAAAGGCAGCATCAAGCAGCAGAGGATGGCTGCTGGCACAGTGAGTACTGGGATGCAGAAGTTAGGCACCATATTCCAAAGCAGAGCAAGTCCTCTTCAGTCTGAGGCAAGTGGTCAATACATCCAGTATTACAGACACAGACTTACTCCTGCAAAACCAAAAAGAAAGAAAAGGAAAATTATTATGACACACAGATTAACTGCCAGTATACCAAACTGTACTGCAAAAACATCATTACAGATACTTTCAAAGAGAAATTTACCTATCTTCCCTGCATGAGCAGTAGAGCACCACACACGCCTCCGAATTCAATAAGCTGATTTCAAGGGTCAGCAGGCATAAATGCACCTGTCTCCAAGTTTACCTTCACGTATAGTCTGGTTTATGGCCCATTAATGCATCTTTTCCTTGCTGCTGCTCACAACAAATAGCTCTGAAGCTGCACATTACATACAAGAAACAGTCTTAAGCTCTTGTAACTCTCCTCCCATGTGCCCTAGACAGACGTGGTTGACTGCATATGTAGGGAGGGCTTGTGATCAAATTGCATGTGCAGCACAGCTTGGACCATCCAGCTGGGCTGGTGTACACCAGACAAGTCTCAGCGGGTTCAAGCAGAAGAAACAGAAGCTGATTTGGATCAGCTGTCAACTTACGAGCTACCAGAGTCACAGCAGAATGTTATCAAGGAAAGTGTCTATAAAGAGAAGCTTTAGCCAAAGCAAACACCTCAGCTTCAAACTCCCCAAAATGGAGGAAATTACTACCTAAAAGGAGTGATAATTGGATATTCCCTCTCCAAAACAAAGCAAATTATCCTGTGAATTGCCTTAACTTGGGCATTTGCTTGAATACTGAAATACAGAAAATTCCTTGAAAATGAATCCAAAAAAGGCAAATATTTAAAAATAATACAATTTCTGTGTATCTGCTTTATCTTTAATGAGAATATACTCATTGTACTTCCATCTCAAAGTCTATGGTCTACCTATTAAAACAGATTTGAAAGGAGCTAGCAAGCACCACACCCTCAGCAACCACACTCAGCAGTGACACTTTCAGTACCAGCATCTCAACACAAGCCCAAGAGTTATTTAAAAGTAGACAGATGTGATTCTCCACTAAGCTGCAGAAGTTACCAAATTTTCCAACAAGCATTATTAGTGAAAAAACCTCATGCTGGCAGATGCCAGCCTGAGTGAACCCTGTGAGTATCCCTGAAGCAAAGAACCTGCAACTATGCACACTGTTTGTGGCCCAAATGCCACTTTTACTCGTGCTGGCAGACATTTCAAAAACACCTTAAAGACTGCTCTAACAAAGATATTTCTGAATTTTGCTAGGTTTGGAAGCATATTGTTTTTTGAAACTGCTGAGCTTTTGAAGGAAGTATCACAAGTTACGAGCACATCTACTTCTGACAAAAACACGGTGCTCAAAGAATGCCAGCAATGATTGTGCCTAGGGAAATCCACAAGAAATCTCAAGAGAATCTGCCTTGGCAAATATTTACAGTACATAGTACTAACAAACAGGAGATCACGATTCTTCTCCATTCTCTTACTGTATTTGCACAGTAAATCTTTTCACATGTTACAATATCGCACAACACAGAGAAATCTTTATTTATGCAACATCTTCTGCACCCAAGACATCTGAAAATACTTTACAAAACAACCTAGTTCTAACCTAGATGCAGAGAGACTACTGATCATCTCATTCTGCTTTTATTGTCTCAATGAGAAGGCATAAATTGAACTAAGCTCAGCAGCAAAATTTTAAATACTGCAGAAGAGGCTCTTTGTACCAGCCACACACTCCATCATCTTTGCTGCCCTCCATCTTCCCTATCCTCATTCAACTCTCACCAAAGGATTACTAAAAGCACCATTTACATGTCTTACATAGCAAAGACAGATACAGGTAGTTGTATCTTTGAACCTGCATAAGCTCTATTCCAATGACAGAATAGTCCAGATCCAAGCAGTTGGCCCAGTGTTGGCCAGCACCCCAGATATTGCCCATACTGGAATGGGAAGAAATGCCTGGATCAAGAGTGATGATTACAAACATAAATTCTGCATGTCCAGGGGTAATTTGTGCTGCCTGGAGAAGAGAGCCCACTGAAGCAATTTAAGCAGCATTACATCTGGCTCCACAGCAGCCTGAATCCTAAGAGGCTGCTCTTCTTAGGGAGGGGTTGGGAAACACCAAGGGTTGAAATTACTATGTCAAAACTAATGATGTGTGTCAAGCTCTCTAAGATTAGGACAGAGAACAAGTTTTACAGGTGGTGCTGAAACATCTTAGGTATTTGTCAGACCACATTGGGGATGAATAGCTTTCAGAGAGCTTTTCCTCTTTCATTCACTTCCATTAACAACAAAAGTGTCTCATCTAACGGTGTATCTTGAGCACAGATTGCTCAGAGTCGTGTCAATGGCACCTCCACAGCCCTCATTCAGAAGTAACTCTCAGGAACACAAAAACCTCAGTTAAAGAATAGGTCTGTCTCTTGATTTCTCTCTTCTTTCAGTAAATGTGATCAAGCTTCTCTCCAGTTTCAACAGATTTATAACTTTCCTCTCTAGCCCATGAGATACATACAGCATGCACTATGCAAAACTGATGAATTGTCAGATACCCTTACCAGATGCTTCATAGACTTGATCTTTTTCAACTGTTTAGTGCTCTAAATAATTTACCATCTGGTAGAAAAGCCAGATTTTCTTATGCCAGACTGATATCTGTCCCTCCAAAGTTAATAGACCACCTTTGGCCTTTAACAGGATCTAAATTTGCCACTTCCTCTTGCCATGGTTGCTCTCGCTATGGAAAAGTTGTCTGCATTCAATATTTAAAGAGCTTTAAATTGGAATGTTTTAAAATTTTATAAATCTCAGTAGCTGTCATTCTCTTTTGAAAGTGAAAATATTAAAAAGCATCTCCCTGTGGTTCAGCATTCTCATGTTTTAGAAGGGATGATGCTCTCTCCCAAGGAGACAACCCAATATTCAAAGCAAGGGTGTCAGCTGAAGCTCAGTTAACCCTTAGAAGGGTCCATGTTATTCTGACAGTGTTAAACAGCAATCCTGAACCAATGCTAAAGGCTTCCTTTTCTGGGGCAGAAGGCAGCTTAGGATGGAAAGCAGCTAAAAAACAGGTAATATTGGTAGATTTTGGCATCAAGCTAAACAAAGTCAGTACAGCTTCGGCAAAATCAAGTACAACAGCAACCGACCAAATAATGCTCCTACAATTCTTAAAGTGTCTTGTCCCCAGCAGCCTCATGCCTCTTCAGGCCATTCTCTCTTGTTTCTGGACCAATTTCCTGTGCACCAGATGATCTCGGTCCCTTCATTCAAAGGCCTCCTTTAATCTCACTGCTTTGGCCAGCATCTCACAACTAATACCGCATTTGGGAGCCCAGACACAGTACAAGAAGGTTTTTCAAAAACACACGTACATTCTCATTTCTTCTTCTGCATCTGGTCCTGGCAATATCATAAACTCTAGACTACATAACCCAAAATTAGGCTGAGGCTAAGCACTCCAGATGGCTTTGTAAAAACAGCTTTGAGTTTAGTAAGCTAAACTCCTGCCTCTGCTCCAAACGCAGTGCTAGAGCTACCGAGAGCTAGTTTGGCAGAAAAACTAGAAAGCAGGGAAACACAACAAAAAACTAGCAATCTTCATTTAAATATATCAGTTTTTTGCTGTGGGGCAGGTGGATGGAAAAGAGGCGGTCTTCAGGACATTTTTTTCAACCTACATGGTCTGATTCTTTCAGACAGGCAGAAAAAGCTGGACTCATTTAAAACAGAGCCAAGAATACCAACAGCTCATATGGTACTAAGAAATTCTGGCAATAAGTATGTCTCACAGGAGACAGCAAAGAGATTAGAAAAAGCAGTCAACTTTAAAGAGTCAAGAGGAATTTCAAACCAGCACTGAATAGCTTATGTCCTCTATGAACTCCTCTGTAAGATAAACTGAACTGAAACCAGTGTCACCTGGGTCATCAGCCAAGACAGGCACAGTGAAGACAAGCCAAAGCAAGCCTGCCCATTCCAAACCAGGGACAAGAACACTGCACTAAAATCACTTTTAGGTTAAGCTACCTTGCAACCCAAAGAATCTAAGAAGTCAGCACAAGGCTCCCTCCAGAAGCCCCTGTACATCCATGGAACTGCCCGGTTTCGTTGTGTGTGTGTGTGAGTACTGACGCTGCCTTTGCTGTGAAACACGGCTAAGAGACTCCGGAAAAACTTACAGGGTGAGCCCAATGCACAAGCAATGTCCTTATCTGACCTGGGGATGTAACAGTGTCTTTTCAAAAAGTAACCTGAAACAATTGTGTCTTCAAGGTGGAAACTTCCTGAGCATTCTCAAGGATGCAGGTCAGAAAAAACAACTGGGCACAGCCAGACCATGGTAAAGACAGGGCTGAAATTACATCAGCTTCTCCCCGTGCTACTGCACGTGCAACACAACCAAATTTTCCTTCTGGACCCCTACCCTCTGTATTCTTCAAGTACCTGAAGGGAAACCAGTGCTCCAGAGGGACCCAATCAGCACAGATCAACTCTGGGGTGCCAC